TGTTTATTTCATTCTAGACGATAATCTTTAATTTTTTTACCAAAGTCTAAATCAGAAATTACTTTATCGATAACTTTGATTTTTCTCTTACGATATATTTTGACTACTATATTATTTATAAAATGTGTAATATACAAAAATCAGTTACGTGATTAGATTTATTACGAACATCTGTTTCATCGTTATCTTGTATTGCGAAAAATTACAGAAGAAGGGAGAGAAAGAGAAGTTAGCCAAAATTAGCGGGCCGATAAAATTGACAGCATACCCTGTAAGGATGTTTTCAGTTTATTTCTCAAAAACACGTTTACGGATCGCAACTTTATTATATATGGTTGAATTTGGCGTGAAAATAATACTTTAATTTTAGTTGCAAGAAAAATTTAAATATGAAAAATACGTGGTGGGGGTGGTATTTGAAAAATTAAACATTTTGCAAAATATGATCATGCCATTATAAAGAGCTTTCGAAACCATAAAACTTTGCTGGAAACATTTTTTTATATTCTCATTATTTCGGCGATATTCGCTTGAAAAACGTAAACACCGATTTATTTAAGGGGATGTGCACCCTAAACCGAATATCAGCAGCTAAAAAAATTGTTTCGTGATTGGTTCATCTACTCTAAACTTATACAAAGTTTCAGATTTTTTTGAATTTTACACTTGCCGAACTTCCCTTGTTAGCTACAGGATTAATAGATGCAGATTTGTTCACAGTCTCGTGAAAATCTTTACTTTCCCAAAGGAAATTAAGAGTAGAAATCATAAAGGATAATTTTGACTCCTTTTACTAATTATAAATGAACTGCGCGATCGTTGATAGAGCTATAAACAAGTTTATGTTAAAATTGTTATTCAAAGCATTAGTTAGCGTCGTTTGTGATTTTATGATGGACGATTTGACCGCCAACGAAACGTAATCTCCGTTTTAGAAAACTTCAAGAATCTTACACGAGGTTTTGCACACCTACTAGTGACTCAAAGTTCCATCTAGTGCCTTCCCAGCCCAGATCTCAACATCAGTCATAGCTCGGCGTCCCTGGGTATAGGCGGGTAAGCAGGTTGCCCGCAAAACAAAAGCGCTCTTTTCTCTACCAGGCGTAGAAGAGAAAGGAACCATCGTCTGGACGTGACAGGTTCCTCTTTTAATTTTGGTGGCAGCGGTGGGATTGCCAAACGAACTGATAAAAGATCTTCCTGCGTGAAGGCTTTAAGATTAATCCTTTTCGTTAAAATAAAATTTAATTTCATAAGCGAACAACCGGTATAAGCTGAAGTTCGATCAAATTGTCACTGCCAAAAGGTGTGGCTACAATTATCGCTGTCGCTGACGATTAGGGTGCTACAGTCGATTAAATTGAACTCTTAATTATATCTAGTTCGCTTTCCAAATGATAATCATAGTTTGAGATTTGACTTTGTGTGATTACAATAGCTGTCGCTGACGATTAGGGTGGCTACAGCTAAATCTTGAACGCATTTTAACATTTCTTTACAAATGCCCAGGAAAGGTGGACATCGCGTTCTAAACAAAAGGATTAATTTTTAGTTTAATAAAATATCCTCTTTTATCCAAAACCTTGTGCATATTCCGAATAACGAGCTTAGCACGGCTAAATCGCAATCCAACGAATGCGCATGCATTAATTATAAACTAACATCAATAGAATTCGAACACAAATATCCTGATTACAAAACAATTAAGTGTTTGGACCCCCGTCGCAAAACCTATAAATTTGTCATTTATTTGGCTCTAATTAAAATTCAATAATTTTACTAATACATCTTCAAGCAACTTTCAAAACAAGTACATTAATTAATTCAACATGCCAACTACACGATCACAAAGCTCTAATCCTCCTTCCGAGGGTGGAGAGAGCTCGACGCATTTAGATATTGAATCAATTTCCCGAATGATGGATGAAAAGGAAAAATCGCTCAGAGAACAAACAAACTAGATTTCTATCAAAACGAACGGAAGAATTCAAAACACTGCGAGGAGCGGAAGCTAGGGAAGCCAGGAGATCGGATGAACAACTTAATTCCATATTAAATACCTTAATCGAACAAGTCTCTTCCTTAGTTTCTTGCCTAAACAAGTAGAGATTTTGAATCAACGTATTAGTAACCAATCTACCGACTCTTACTCTAGTCGACAGCGAATCCATTTTGATGTTCCTGCAGACGATCCTTGCGAACTAAACCATCCCGATACAACTTCCCCGATTCGGTTTAAAAGATGTAGTTGATTCGATTCCGAAATACGATAAACACAAAATGTCCGTTTTTCACTTCAGCAAAATATGTGAGCGAGCTCTTGAACTAATACCGCAGCATCACGAGCAATATTTAGTGCAATTTATAATTAATAAACTTCAAGGACATGCTTATTCTGCAATAGAAGGACAAGAATACACCTCTGTTCACATGCACAACACGACAATTAAAATTAATTTTCGGACCCAATAAAACAGTAGACCAATATCGCGGTGAGCTCGCAAACATCTATATGAAGTCTAATGAAAATATTTTCGATTATATCGCAAGAGTAAAGGAATTGCAATCCGCTATAATGGACGGTGAAAGTGATGGCTATGATGAGATAGACAAAACCGTCAGAGAAAATATCAACTATAATGTCCTCCATAGTTTCGTCAACGGACTTTCGCCCGACTTATTAATTAAAGTCAAATTGAACGGAGCCTATACACTCGAAGGTACATTCGCGAACGCCATACAACTAACGAAAACATTAGAAGCAGAAAACGCTCGGAAGAGAATCTCTTCTAGCTACAGATCTAACATTCCCCCTCGCGCCGATTTTGTAACCAAGAACGAACAATCACAGAACACCATTATGTATAATTCGCAACGATCGGTTCAACCACAGTCGCGACCTAACGTTCCTTTCATTAAATCTCTAGTTCCCGGACAAACTGGACCGAACTACCCTAGAGAAAAGATCTGTCGTTATTGTAAAAAATCCAGGGCATTATATGGAAGAATGTCGCAAGCTTGCCTATAAGCGATCCCTTGAAAACCATTCAAGTCCTCGCCCCTCTGATAATAACAGCTCGGGAAATTCTCAGAACGTTCCGACTGCAAGCGGCGTCCACCGGAACGACAATCAGACGGGACGCCCTTCTCTTCTCCCGTGCGCACCAGTTACTACAGTGCGACTTCAAAGCCTGACCTCTGTCTTATCACCCGTGCCGGAGGAATAGGCATAAAAGCAAAAACCACACGCTCTTCCCACGATTATTCTCTCATCTCCAGACCTCAAAGAAGATTGTCTTTTTATGATTGATTCGGGATCTGGAGTAAATCTCATAAAAAGTAAATGTCTCAATCCAGACATTAAAGCATGTAAGGAAGATATCCTGGCCCTTCAAGGACTATCTACGGAAACAACGCCTACTCTGGGTTCTGTTAAGGTACCTTTTCATGCTGACGCTGAAACGCTTGACGCTCGTTTTGTTCGTGTTTACTCTATGTAATTTTATCTATGGTTGACGCTAAAAAGTTCGTTTCTACCCAACTTTCCAGCGTTGACGGTGGTTGACAGGTCATGCTTAATTTATTAATCAAAAAATTGTTTGTTTATCATAAAATTTCATCATGCAAAGCGAAGAAAAGGAGGTAATTTAATAAATATAAAGTAATACTTTGAATATATATCTGTATAATATGATAGCAGAATACACATGTGAAATGTTTTGAGGTTATACATAATTGAATTAAGAAATATTAATAATTTTAGAATTTTCTCGTGAAATGTGGCTATTGTAAACAAACCTGTTTAAATAAAGAAGCTGCCCAACATTTATGTATTCGAGAATTTGACGAATTTTTTGTTGATCCAGATACATATAAATTTTGGGCATACGATGGTGAATAAATTAATATAAATATTTAGTTTTGAAGTTTATTATTGAATATATTAATTTATTAATATTGAATTTATTAATTTTTTCATAGGTAATGAAATTGTTTCTGAATTATCTGACGAGCATTTTGCTCGATTAGAAAATATTGCTAATAAGGAAAATGCCAGTATTAATATCAACCAAAGTATCTCCAATAAAAAAGTAAAAACATCCAAAAAAACCAAGGCTCCTCTTAATGTTGTTCAATTAAAACTTGACCAAGAAGAGCAATGATTTTTGAAGTTATGAACAGAATACCTCTGTGGGATTTTACAATCCCATTAGAAGAAAGGAGCAAAATCATAAAAAACAAACTATGGTCAGAAGTATCTGACTCACTTAAAGGTATTTACTTAATTTTTATATAATAATTTCTTTTTATGAAAAGTCCTATGAATAGTTTAATAATTCTAATACGAATATTATTTTCAACAGGTGCTTTTACCCCAGATGGTGCTAAAAAAAGTTAAGGCATTAACTGACACATTTAGAAAAATCATTCGGGATGAGCAATGTCCAAGTGGTTCCGCTCGCAAAAATAATGGCAATAAATGGGCTCATTACGATTCCATGCAATTTTTGAGAGATCATTTCACTCCAAGAGAGTATGTATACATATATGTTGTACACCCATGGAATTTAATTCTGTCCCTCAGAAATTTTCAACAATCTGACAAATGAACACCTTTCTATATTAATGGTCACAGTTCGTGTACGATAAACAGCTTACGTTTGGCTGTAAGCTGTCTATCGTACATGGACGGTGAGCATTAATGTAGAAAGGTGGTCACTTGTCAGATTGTGAAAATTTCTGAGGGACAGAATTAAATTCCATGGGTGTACTACTTATTATTGTTATTATTGATTATATTTTATTCTCTATTAATCTTACATATTTATTTTATTTTCAGAACTGCAACAAATTGAGAATCTGAGGAAAAATGATTCTGATGACATTAATTTATCTAGTCATGAAGTTGATAATGACACTGTAAAAAAAACAGCAGAAGGATTACACGTAAAAGGAAAAATATTGGTGATAAGGACGACCTAAGTTCATCTATTGATAAAGTAGCAAAAGCTATAAGTAATTCAGGTTCAAGTAGAGACATAATTTTGCCACCACCCCCTGAGCTTACAGAAATAGATTCCTGTTTAAATATAATAGGCAGTCGATTGAAGAAAATTCCAGAAGAAATGCAATCAGATGCAATCCACAAAATGTTGCTGTTATCTTACGATGTTGTTCAAGAATATAACAATTAATAATGCCATTATTTTCTAACAATAATTAATAAAATTAAGTATTTGTTTTTTTAATTATATTTTATTCATATAAATTTTTAACAAATGTGTTTATAATGCGTTAATAAAGTTTCTCACAAATCAATTGCAAAAATGTTTTATTTATATGATTTCCAAAGTAAGTATATAGTCATACATTTACAATAATTTTACAAAAGTTAATATTCAATATGTATATATACTCTAACTTTTAATGATGACAAAATGGATGACGGAAAATGTAAATATAATTGAAAAAGAAAAACGAAAAAGGAATATAATCCATGTACCAACTTTATCAGTAATAATAGCAATGAAAAAAAGAAAAGAAGATCATATACTCCAAAACGTTACTGGATTGAACCTGTATTTAGATAAAGAAATTTACATGGATTTTACGATAAGATATTTCCTGTATTACAACTTGAAGATTTATGATTGATAAATTATTTTAGAATGTCATTATTAGTTTAGTAATTCAACAGAATTTCAATTATCACGGTTATACTGCCAGGAAATAGCGCCTTCACCATTAAAATAGGCACAAAATTCATCTCTTATGGAAATAGCATTACGAGTACTCGAATTTGTTCCTGTTCTTGTTACCTCTTGGAATGCCCAGCCATCTTCCCTTAGACTGTTCCATGTCCCAGAGATCAATATACTATCTGAATACCGATCAACTAGTTCAGGAGATACATATTGATTATTATGTACATCCTTTTCTCTTAACCAATTATGTAAGCAAACAGTAGCTTGTATAATTTTTTCTGCAGTTTCCATTTTGCAAATGATTGGTCTTCTAAATATTCTCTATTGGCTCGCTAATATGCCAAAAGTATTTTCTATGATACGTCTGGCACGACTGAGACGATAATTATAAATTTCTCGTTCTTTAGTTAATCCCTTTCCAGGATAAGGTCGAAGCAAGTAATCAGTTAATGGAAAAGCTTCATCGCCCACGAGATAATATGGCATATCTGGCCCTTCTGCAGAAAGTGGAGACGGACCTGGTAAATTCATTTGCTTTGAATTAAATTTTCTTCCTACAGTGGAATTCTTAAATATAGCGCTATCACTGCCCCTTCCAAATGCTCCAATATCTACATATCTAAAAACATAATTGGCATCACAAATAGCAAGAAGGACAATGCTATGTGTGCCTTTGTAGTTATAATATTGTTGTGCCTCCGGGAAGGCACGGAAAATTTTGGAGTCTCAGTCGACTGAAGGATGAGGATCCTAGGATCGGCGGGCGTCTCCACTTTAACTAATTCACTTGTTTACCTGAATAAATCTTTTATTTCATTTATTTCTCGAGTTGGTTTAATTATGTCTAATCCCACCTGGGTGGTTAGTTAAGTATGCTCGCACTCGATAGTTAGATTACAGGTGATAGTTTATATTCTGCGACTTGTCTTCGACTCTTAGTTAGGTTCTAATTAGCGACTTGACTTTTTGGATTTTCGTTAGCGACTGACTTCATCGCCTCGCTCTCCGTTCGCGGTGGTCTCCTGCCCTTTTCTACATCTTTCGGGGGAAGATGTAGAGAAACTCTTTCATTGGCTAATTTTTATTCACACGCTTTTATCTAGATGCAAGCGAAGCAGGTTGATTCTTCGCTTGCGATCCGCGGTTTTCGGTGTAACGCTTATATTTCATCGCGTTTGCGTCTTTTCGCGATAAGCGCTTTGCGAGAGCGTGAGAACGTTTCTCAAATGATTGTATAATAGCCAACTTATTAATTTATTATTAAAACTATATTTAATATAATATAGTTATAATCATTCGGACTATAACATTCCTCCCCCGTTGAAAAAGAAAAACGGAGGTACGAAGTTTTTCGTTCTTAATTTCTTAACTTACGTATAATAGTGGTTTCCCGTTACAGTATAGTATTACAATTGTTTCTTAAATTCTAGTACTTTGACTTCTTCTTAGGATTGATCTCGGTATTTCGAAGTCAATATTTGTTGTAGTTTTCAGTTGTTTTTTGTTTTTATTTTTTCTTTTTATTATTATTATCCATGTTATAATGGATATTGCAGCTACTGTCATTACTGTTCCGGTAAATGTCATTGGGTAGACAAATTGCTTCCGTGCATAAAAATTTTGTTCGTTGTTTTGTAAGTCGTTGTCTATAGTTTCTATTTTGTCTCTGAGTTTTGTCAATTCCAAACGATGTTGTAAGATGTTTTCTAATGTGTCCTAATCATGTCCTATTTTTCCGTCTCGTGGAATTGTTATATTTATATTTGGTAGGAAAGTTTCTAAGATATTTTCGTACAATTTTCCTGCTGTTTGTAATGTTGTGTCTGTTGTTGTCAGTTTACAGTTTTCGTTTAATGTAATCTCGCCTGTGTTTTTGATTACTTTACTTTCTGATCGTTCGTCGCATCGTATAGTTATTGTCTGTTCAGCGGAGGTCGAGTATAGCCAAGTGTCTTCTTGGTGTAAGGTTATCCATATCGTGCGGGACGAGGTATATTGTCTAACATTACATTTATCCTGATAACGTTGTCGCAGTGTATACATTTGAATTTCGCACGGTGCGTCTACGTCTATGCGATATATGGGTGTATTTTGTTTGCATACATATTGTGTATTTATTTTACTACATTGCTCTAACTTCTTTTCTGTTATTATGGCGTACGTTAATTTTTCCGTATCTACTACAATAATTGGGTTGTTTATTTTAATATAATTTTATACATTCTTTATGTATAACGTAGGAAATTCTATCGCTTTTATAATGTCGTATGTCGGCTGTACAATTAAAGGAAAACGCAAAATTGTATATACTGTATCTGATTCGTGGTACGCTGTTATCGCAATGTTTTCTTCTATCGATAACCAGCCGTCTGTACGAATTTTAAAGGGGAAATACAATCCTTCGGGAAGTTGTGCTGCTGCATCTTTAATTATTTATAATCTCGTCTATTGGTATTAATCTGGGGTGCATTTTGCTCTTTCGTATATATGTTAAGTATTCTAATACGTTTTCTGTATCCTTTATTAGTTCGTTTACAATTGCTTCTATCGCCCTGAAATGTTCGTTTATTTTTTCTAAGGTAAGAGTTTCGGCCATAGTTTGTTTTAGCAGTCTCTCATTATGGTCGATTATGTTTTCTAATCTATCTAAATGTGCTACTGTAGCGTTTATTACTTTTAGTTGGTTTCGAATCGCGTGTTCGGATACCCGTTGCTTATTTGCTATTAATTCTAGCTGTTCGTTTATTTGTTTTTCATCGTCTGCGTCCATGATTCCGAATAATGTTTTTGTTATCGATCCTATACCGTCTATTAGTCCTCGACGTTTGTTTGTCGGTCCTTTGTATAAGGTATCAATTTGATTTTTTATGTTGTTTAGGTATTTTAATTTCTGTTTTATAATATTAATCACGCATGAACTTTCTGTTTTGTCGCACATCATTTCTGTCTGTTTTATGTAATTGGCAATTTGTTCATGTCTAAATTTTAAAGGTGCGAGGTTTAATTTTATCACTAGTTTCCATGTTTTCTTGGAAAAGTGTAGTTGTCCGATTTGCTCGAAATATATCCCTGGACTGTGCTTGAACTCTGTTATCTTATACAGTTCATCCTTCTCACTTTCCTTTCCGAGTACTGCAGCGTTGCAGGCTAAGAGTGAAAGTGTCCTGTAATGATATACATATAATTCTTCTTACTACTTTGTCCTTGATCGTGAATATGCTTTTGTTTACAATTTTTTATCAAGCAAGAGGAGCGTTCGTTCTATATGTCTTCTGTCGTCCCTTTAGTCTTATGACAACCTTTGCTTCATTACTACCGTTGCGTCGTCTAACACAAAAAAATGTTTGGTTCTGATATGTGGTTTGATTGCTCGCGATGCCATGTAGAGTTTGTGCCCTGGTGGGAACCGATATGTTTCTCTTGTTCGAGGTTTCTTAGATGTGTGGGCTTAGTTGTGGGGCCGGCATTGTCGACCAACCGTTTTGATCGGGCTTTGGGGGCTGTCGCAAGATATGCGGCTAGCTCTTTTCCGTTCTCTTTACACGTGAGTGTAAACGTGCGGTCTGGTGTGCGCGTTGTGCGCGAAGTTGCTTTGGTGCCTCCCGAGGAGGGATTCATGATTCCGGCCATGCAAACCCTGAGGGCTCTGAGAGAAGGGCGGCCTCTCCCTTATGGACGTGTATGTCACGAGGACGAAGCAGACGATTAGGTAAGTTCTAATTTTCAATAAATAATTTTAATCTGTTTGTGTGCATGCGTATTGCTCTTCTTTCTTTCTTTACTGTGTAATTGACGCTTGAATTTTTTTCTATTATTGTATATGGTCCTGCCCATAATGCGTCTAATTTCTTGGATCGTCCGCGTCGGAGTGTCTCGTCGTATACGAGTACTTTGTCGCCTATTTTAAATTTGGTTTCTTTCGCAGATTTATCAAAGTATTCTTTTGATTTTATTTTTTTCTCTTTAATATTTTCTTTCGCAAGTTGATTTGAGGCACGTATTCTTTCCCTTAGTTCCTGTAAATAGTCATCGTAGTTATACGTCAGTTTAGGCGGTTTTGTTAGTGCCGTCGGTAGTTCGACTTGTCGTCCGTATATTAATTCAAAGGGGGTATATCCCGTAGCTGAATGAGGAGTGGTATTATATGTAAACATTGCGTATGGCACCCATTCATCTCAGTCGGTTTGATCAGCATTTATATATTGTCGCAAATATTCGGCTAATGTGCGGTGCGATCTTTCTAATGCTCCATTACTCTCGGGGTGATACGCGATTGTTTGTATCTTTTTTATTCTTAATAATTTGCATATATTTTTAAATACTTCGCTCATAAAATTTGTGCCTTGGTCTGTTAAAATTTTCTCGGGAATGCCGTGTTCGAAAATTATTTTCGTAACGAACTCTTTCGCGACGATATTTGCTTCCTGATTTGTGATCGGTATCGCTTTACTGAGTTTCGTCAGGCTATTCTAAAATGTTAGTAAGTATTTGTTTCCGTTAGTGGTAACTGTTAGCGGTCCGAGGATATCTAATGCACATTTTTCAAATGGTTTATTCGGAGTATCTGTGATCACGAGGGGTGCTTTTATTCGGCGCGATAATTTATTTTTTTGGCAGGATTTACATTTGGCGATATATTGTTCGACATCTTTTGTCAATCCTGGCCAGTTATAATTTAATCGAATTCTTTTGATTGTTCGTTCGATTCCTTGATGCCCTCCTGTGGGTGCATCGTGATATTTCGTAGAGTATTTGTTTCTTTTCCTCTTCAGAATATTTCCTTGTATTATCCGCGAATTCTTCCTCTTCTTTTTCTTCTTCGTTTTCTTCTAACGTGAAAATTCTATTTTTTGTCTCCTCGTTGATATCTCGGGTTACTTGTCGGCTTAGCGCGTCGGCATTCGCGTTTGCTCGTCCGGCCTTGTGTATGATTTCATAATCATATTCCTCGAGTTTCAGTCTCCAACGGATTAATCTAGACCCGGGGTCAGTTACATTGAACAACCACATCAAAGGTTTATGATCGGTAATTATTTTAAACTTTGTGCCATAAATGTATGGTCAAAAACGTTTAACAGCCCATACAATTGCCAATAGTTTCTTCTCCGTAGTATTATAATTTTGTTCCGCGCGAGATAATACTCGGCTGGCGTATGCGATAGGTCTATCCTTGCCTACCGTTCCTTGTGATAGTACGGCTCCGATTGCATAGTCCGAGGCATCGGTAGTCACGTTGAATTCTTCATTGAAATCCGGGTACTTTAGCACTGGCGCTGTCGTTAATTTTTCCTTTAATTTTTCAAACGCGATTTGTTGTTCGTTTTTCCATTCGAACGTTTCCGTTTCCTTCGTTAATTTTGTTAACGGTTTTGCGATTCGCGAAAAATTTTCTATAAATTTCCGGTAATAACCCGCTAGTCCGATAAACGATTGTACGTTTTTTACTTTCCGTGGTGTCGGAAAATTTTTTACCGCCTCTAATTTCGACGGATCTGGCAGTATACCGTTTTTGGAAATAATATGTCCAAGGTATATTACCTCTTTTCGTAAAAATTCGCATTTGTCAGGCTGTAGTTTGAGACTATGTTTCCGTAGGCGTTGTAATACTTCCGCGAGTCTTCTGTTGTGATCCTCTAAACTGGATCCGTATATAACAATGTCGTCGAGATAAACGAGACATCGGAGTCCTTGTATCCCGGTTAGCACTGAGTTCATAAGTCGTTGGAAAGTCGCAGGTGCGTTTTTAAGTCCAAACGGCATTCTATTAAACTCGTAGTGTCCGTAGGGAGTCGAGAAGGCTGTTTTATTTTTGTCGCGCTTGGCCATCGGTATCTGGTGATATCCAGATGCGAGGTCGAGCGTCGTAACATACTTCGCGTTTCCCAGCTGATCCAAAATATTGGTAATATTTGGCAGTGGGAATGAATTGCCTATAGTTAATTCATTTAACTTCCGGAAATCGACTACTACTCTTAATCGCGGTTTGCCTGTTGCGTCAGCCTTTTTTGGCACTACTAATAACGGTGCATTCCACTGGCTAATGCTTGTACTAATAATTCCGTCTTTAGCATTTCCTGTACTTGTTTGTTCACTTCTGATTTGTGTTTCTCGGGAAGGCGATACGGTCTCACATTGACGGGTAAGGTATCGGCGCGCGTGCTTATCTCGTGTTTTAGTGTTGCTGTGCATGACAGTGGTTCTCCGCTTAAATAAAACACGTCGCTATATTCTTCGCATATTTTCTGTATCGCTTTCCTTTCTTCCTCATTTAAATGTTTTGTGTGTAACAATTGTCAAATTTGTTCGTCACGCGTTAATTGATTCGGAGTCTCGTTTGTATGTATCGTGTACAACTCGTGCGCGTTATCTTCGCAAACGTCTTCTACGGTTACGAGGGGTGTGTGTATCTCGACCGGCTTATCAGTTGTATTAATTACACTGATGGGACATTGGTAATTCTTCGGTTCTACCAAACATCGTCCGATATAAATTTCTGGGGCGGTTTCTTTGGCTCGAATGATCCCTGTCTTATTATCATTTGTTATCGCGTGTATAATTGTTTCACTACGCGGCTTTAAAATAATTTTGTTATACGGTTGCACTTTTAGGACGGCGTTTTCGATTTGTAATTCGCGTTTTTTGTAATCGCACGTGACTTGCTGCTTCTGGAGGAAATCGATTCCTATGATCCCGTCGTATTCCATTGGGAAATTATCTTTCACGACGTAAATCGCGTGTTTTATCTTGTTTCCGTTTAGCTCAATTGTCGCGTACATTTTTCCGATCGTCTTTGCTTTATGACCGGTTATTCCAACAAGGGTTATTTTATTATTGTAAATTTCGGTCTCGCCCTTCAAATGTTTCACTTTTATCAATGAAATCGTAGCTCCCAAATCGTAAAGCATATTTACTTTTCCGCGTTTTGCCTCTCGCATAGACAGAGTAATTATATTAAACTCGCTCTCTCTCTCTCGGCGTTCGGCGCACGTGTGTCACCTGATATTCGAGCGCGCGAGTCTTCTTAATCTTATCTCCGCGCTCTCCGTCTTCATCGCTGCTACGTTCGGACTCGGAATTTCTCTCTTGCCGGATTCTTTGATTATCTATTTTATTAATACTTTGCGGGTTTTTTTGATCCTCTGGCTTGTTCCGTGGGGGCGTCTTATTTTTCGGTCGCCCGTTTAATTCCCAACATTCTTCGCGGTTATGTCCACGCTTTTTGCAATGATTGCAAAATTTTTCGATGACGGATACGCGCGAGGATTTTTCCGGTTTTGGCAGAACGTTGACTTTGCTACGACAGTCTCGTCCGTAATGTCCGGGTTTTCCACATCTATAACATTGTCCCGTCATTCGCTGTCCTGACCGCGTTGATTCAGGTTTATTTAGCGAGAAATTAGTTGCCCGTGACGTGCTAGGTCCGATAAATCTCTCTTCCGCGCTCGCGCCGGCTATCGCTTCTTGAAGCGTCGTATATCGTTGTGAGCGTACGAGTACTTTTAGGTCGCTTCGTAGCCCTAATTAAAAATTTAATAATGCTTGTGTTTGGATCGTTTGTAAGATAGTGCGTTTCTCTGAGCTCGTCTGGTTTCCTGCCTCTATCATTGAATCGTATAAATTCATAGCGAGCTGGTCGACACGTTGCCCGAAATTTTGTGCTGTCATTATATTTCTGCTTTAGCGAATTAAATTCTATTTGCAAGTGGGCAGTACTTTGCTTGCATTGGTATGCGGTCTCTAGTTGTTGCTTTAATTCTTCAAACGTTTGTATGTCTCGCATTTCGAAAACTTACATGGCTTTACCCTTTAATTTAGTAAATAGTATGCCTTGTAGAGACTCTTCGTCTCCGGGATGTATGTTTTGCATTGTATATGTGCATGCGTTCAGAAATTCCTGAAGGCGGTGTCGCGATGTACCGTCGAATTCGGGTATCATTCGCGCTTTTTTTAGAGACATATATTGTCGTGCAGTACTCCGTCAATTTCGTACGTCGCGCTCAGTCCGTCCGTAAGTCATACGAGGCTCGTAATCGGACTCCCGCTGTTCGTCTGTGTGTGTATGCCTGTGCGGCTTTTATCCTAGTCATACGTGTGTTTAGTGTATGTAGCTCTGCATGTATAGCTTGTATTCTATTAAGCATTTGTGAAGTTTCTCCAGGCTCTACGACGGAGGGTTGTTGTGACGTGACGTCTAAATTCTGTCCCATTTGTGCAAGGGTTTGTCGGAGTATGCTTATTTCGGCATTTATCGCGGTTGGCGGAATAATTGCGTTCATGTTTGTATTTTCTGCCATATTTATTTCGCTATAAATTTCTTCGGGATCGAATATTTTGCTGTCGTATGACGTTAATGAAAATTCTCTCCGCGAGGATACTCTACTCGGAGTTCGGCTGATATACGGTCGCAATCGACGCGGTTCGTTGTGAGTTACTTGAACGGAGTTGCTTGGATTATTTGCGAATATACTCGCGTCAAAACTAGTAAACAGAAATTCTCGTTCGTTTATTACGTTCGGAGGTAACTCGGTATTATTTTTGTTTGACAAGTCGCTGTCTAAATTTCTACGAACGCTTTCGAGATTTTGCGCAGTTAAAGGCAATGCTCGCGTCGTTAACCGTACAGGTGTACTATGCAACCACGATTGGTTTTTAATCGCTTGTCGGGGTGTTTCGTTACCTTCCGACATTCACGCAATCAAATAAATTCGGACTTACAGTATTACGGCTCGCATCGTTACGCTCTATACGGGTCGGCTGCTGCTGCTGCAACTCGATCGCTCGTGGGCTGATAACGGCGGCTCCGTGTTGGTGATAGATACGGCGGGTCGTCGCTCGTGATGATGCGCTGCCCGTGAGGTTGTCGTAGGTCGGCGTTGTCCTTGGACGTCGGCGATCTTTTTCGATTCTCTGCTGCTTATCACTCGTTGCACTGTTTATGTTGTCCGCTCTCTCGTTCTCTCCTAGTCGTGGCTTCTGCTTGTTTCCGTCAAAATTACTGACGTGCCCGTCTAACACTTGTTATAATTGTATGTGTTTTTAAGGTCTTCGCCGCTGTGAGGATTTTGGAAACGACGTCGGCCCTGCGGCTGAGATCCCACCGCTGCCACCAAATTGTTGTGCCTCCGGGAAGGCACGGAAAATTTTGGAGTCTCAGTCGACTGAAGGATGAGGATCCTAGGATCGGCGGGCGTCTCCACTTTAACTAATTCACTTGTTTACCTGAATAAATCTTTTATTTCATTTATTTCTCGAGTTGGTTTAATTATGTCTAATCCCACCTGGGTGGTTAGTTAAGTATGCTCGCACTCGATAGTTAGATTACAGGTGATAATTTATATTCTGCGACTTGTCTTCGACTCTTAGTTAGGTTCTAATTAGCGACTTGACTTTTTGGATTTTCGTTAGCAACTGACTTCATCGCCTCGCTCTCCGTTCGCGGTGGTCTCCTGCCCTTTTCTACATCTTTCGCGGGAAGATGTAAAGAAGCTCTTTCATTGGCTAATTTTTATTCACACGCTTTTATCTAGGTGCAAGCGAAGCAGGTTGATTCTTCGCTTGCGATCCGCGGTTTTCGGTGTAACGCTTATATTTCATCGCGTTTGCGTCTTTTCGCGATAAGCGCTTCGCGAGAGCGTGAGAACGTTTCTCAAATGATTGTATAATAGCCGACTTACTAATTTATTATTAAAACTATATTTAATATAATATAGTTATAGTCATTCGGACTATAACAATATGATGACCCAGAATTTCCAGGACACTGAAAATAAATTTGTTGTAATTAATAAATTATAGAAAACATCTTTACATTATATGTGTATGTATATATATATATATATATATATATATGACTATACTTACTTGTATCACTACATGTTTACCGTCAATGGCCCTAATGCAATGGTTAAAATTCCATAGTTCTTCAAAATTGTTTGCAATAGACAACCATTCTTCTTTTTTTAATCTTGGTGAAAGCACAAGACTATTAAGATAAATCCATATAGTTTCACATGTTTCCTTGATAATATTACTTATGGTTGTTAGACCTCGCAAATATTGGTATTGAATAGAACTCATCATATCTCCGGATGCCAAATATCTGATAAAAGAATTATTAGTTTTTAGTATTATAATTGAAATAATGTTTAATTAAATATATAAAATTGATATGTTAAGAAAATAAATTTAATTCGATTACCTCGATGTTATTGATAATCTTTCTGCAGGACTTACAGCTTCTCGTACATCGGATTTTTTGTAAATATAAGGACCAATAATGCTCAAAAGTTCTTCAAATTGAGTTGAAGACATTCTAAAATAATTTCTGAATCGTAAATCTTCAAGTTGTAAAACAGGAAATATTTTATCGTAAAATCCATGTGAACTTCTTTCTCTAAACACAGGTTCAATCCAGTAACGTTTCGGAGTATATAATCTCTTTTTCTTTTTTTCATTGCTGCTATTACTACTGATAAAGCTGCTGCATGGATTATATTCTTTCTTCGTTTTTCTTTTTCAATTACATTCAAACATTCGGTCATCCATGCATAATATTTAACGTTAATAGTTAACATTGTTAATTCAGAAAAGCGACATGGATATATATACCACGTCTTGATTATGTCGCAACCAATGTTTACCTTGGGGAAGCTATAGTTACTAACATTAAGGGTAAAGCTTATTTACCTATTATAAATGCAAGCGAATACGCTTATCACGTGGAAATCCCGTCTGTCGAATTGCAAGATTTCGATTTCATTGATGCGTTTAGATCTGCTAGTTCAGATAGTGTCGTCGAAACCCGAGGGAATGAGACGACCGACGGTCCATCTATTAAAGAATGCGTTCCAAATTTCAGCTACGAGAATATCACTGCAACCTTAGGGCACCCGATGATTCGCGATAGCTTATCAGATTCTGAAACTCATCAGACTGTTGCAACCCGAGGGCTCGCAACAAGCTCCAACTTCTATATTGATAATCCTTTGTATACCGAAGAGATTTAAGATAATTTTGATTCTGCTAATTTGAACAAGGAAATACCTTGCAATTGCGCATCTGCTATTATGCAGCTTTTGCGATTGGAACATTTGAATTCCGAGGAATTCAATACTGTCAAATCGCTAATACATAATCACTCCGACGAAAATTTCATCTTCCCGACAATAATCTTGAAGCCACTAATGCTACTCAGCATTTTATACCCACTATTAATAAAATCCCGATACATACGAAACAATATCGATTTCCCCCGGTGCATAAAGATGAAATCAATAGATAAGTCAATGAATTATTGTCCAACAACCTGATTGAATATTCCACTTCCCCATACAATTTTCCCGTATGGATAGTGCCGAAAAACCTGATTCTCAAGGTAATAAAAGATGGCGAATGGTCATAGATTACCATGGCCTTAATGAAAAACCATAGGAGATGCATATCCCCTCCCAAACATCACCGATATCTTAGATCAATTAGGATCCGCCAAATACTTTTTCATTCTTCATTTAGCCTCCGGTTTTCATTAAATCCCTATGGATCCAAAAGATGCACATAAAACCGCATTTTCTACTCCTTACGGTCATTATCAATTTAAAAGAATGCATTTCGGTCTAAAAATGCACCCGCGACGTTTCAAAGATTAATGGATAATGTGCTCTCCGGTTTACAAGGCAACGAATTATTCGTGCATATGGATGACATAGTTGTTTACGCAAAATCTTTAACAGAACACGAAATCAAATTTAATAAATTAATGTAAAGATTAAGAACCGCGAATTTGAAATTGCAACCCGACAAATGTGAATTTCTACGACATGAAGTAGCATATCTCGGTCACATCATCGGAGATGATGGAGTCAGGCCCGATCCTAGGAAAATAGAGGCAATAGCTAATTTCCCTACTCCAAAAATGAAAAGAATATAAAACAATTTTAGGATTGGCCGAATATTATAGACGATTCATCCCGCAATTTTCCAAACTCGCTAAACCATTGACGGATTTATTAAAAAGACCAACACTTTTAACTGGCAACAAAATCAGACCGAAGCTTTTAATGCTCTTAGAAAATCCTTGTGCTCTGAACCCATACTTCAATACCCTGATTTTACAAAACCATTTATAGTAGCAACCGACGCATCCGGATATGCTGTCGGAGGAATATACTTAGTCAAGGACAAATCGGAAAAGATCTACCTATTGCCTATACATCTCGTGTATTAAACAGTGCTGAACAAAATTATTCCACTATTGAGAAAGAATGTTTAACCATAATTTACTGTATTAAACATTTTCGACCTTATTTATACGGAAGGAAATTCATTATTACTACCGACCATCAACCTCTAACGTGATTATATAAAATCAAGGACCCCTGCTCTAGAATATGGAAATGGAAAACCACATTAGCCGAATACGAATACGAAGTACAATATAAGAAAGGAAATTTAAACAACGCGGATGCACTATCTAGAAACCCACCTCTTAATAATACAATTCTAGTATTTACCAATGAATACGACGAGCCTTCCAATGTACCGGTAAATTCTCCCGAACCTGTACCCGGTTGTTCTAGAGATAATTACGAACCTCCCATTCCACCTAGAGCCGAAGCCAATAATATAATAATAGAGGGATATTCTGACGACAGTAACGAGGATGACGACGATCAAGGATCCGTATTAGATTTGCAAGAAGGCAATCATATATGAAGAAATACTCGAACTCGAAGAACCCCGAGAAACAGATCAAATTATAATTACAGAAAGCCGCGATAGTTTACTAAAAGTAATGATAATCACGTGATTTTTATTAATGTAAACGGAACTCCTTATGATAATGATGCTAAGGAATACCAAAAGGCTAACTTATTACCGGAATATGAAAATCTCGTATTTGAAAGAGTGAACTTTCAACCTATAAAAAATAAAACATTGATATCCATTCCTATAAGATTTAATAACCACGCGCGTTTGGAACCACAGACTATAAAAAATTGTATTCGTTCTCTTTTTGATGCCATAACGGAATTAGGATTAACCTCTTTCTGTATAGTAAAACCGAAAGTTTTGACGACATACCATGGCGTTACGTAATCGGACAAATCCAAGAATTCTTGAGAGAATTACCCATCCATATCACTGTCTGCGAAAATTTGGTTCGAATTCCTTCTATCCAGGAACGTGAAGCTCTTATAATCGAAAATCATTCCTCCGCTCACGGTGGACCTAAAGGAGTCACTAAAACTTATAATCGTATACGACCTCACTATTACTGGAATACTATGAAAAAGGATATACAAAGCTTTATCCAGAAATGCAATAAAAGACCAATTCTCAGAACAATTACTAATTGCAGAATTATGTGATTTAGTATCACAAATAGAAGAGGATACTTCTCAGGAACAAATTCATCGTAAGGACTTAATACAATCACTAAAGGATCAGTGTCCAGACAATTTAATTGAAATCGATCAATATGCTAATTATCTAGATATTTAAATATTTAAGGTATTTCTCAAATGTCATCAAAATATACTATTAAAGAAAACCGGAAATTAATTAACGAAGAAATTCATACAATAATAAGTATAATTATCGCCCTACTGACAGACGTTTTAAAGGGGAAACATCGATTTAGACCAATTTCTTGTCTGTTTAGATAACATTCCAGATCCATTGCACACGATAAACGCGAGACTTCTCGGAAACCGATAACTCGTGTAATTTAAACAATTGTTTAATAATGGAACCCAATGAGGGATTCTCAAGACTTTAATTTTAAGAATTATATAATATTTTCACTATTGAATTTATTAATTAACAACTATTTAAATGGGGAAATTACAGTCGATCAATTGATTAATTCATTAGATAGTTTAGAAAGAATTGCTAGTAGAAATCCTTTTCTCACTAGTAACTAGAATTCCCCATCCCCAACGTCCCAATACTCGGTCCCTAGTTCCATAGTATAGTCCGTGCTCTCGGCGTCCCTGAGGTATAGCCGGTGTAAGCAGGTTGCCTCATAAAAAATAGGGTGCGTTCCGAATTGCGCATGAAACGCATAGACTGCATAGAAATCGTTCCGATTTAACTAATGCGCGCATTAGTAGCGCTTTGGTAGCGCTCAGAATTTCCTAGATTATACTAACCATATTGAATTCTTATCCCTCTTTCCAGCGCATTGACTGCTTCTACTTCGACTTGAGACAGCTGATGCGTTCAATGCGTTTATGCAGTGTATCGTAATTCGAAACACAAGTCCTTCATCAAGTTCCGTTGGCGTCGTTGACGTGAGCGGACGTGTTTTTTCCTCGCCTTATGCGTATGAAATATTTTTTTTTAAATCGTAAGATTTAAAAATCAGCTCAAATTAAATTAACTGAAGAAAATCTGGCAGCGTGAACAACTCTATACTAAACAGAGCGTTCTATGCCATAAACGACGAAGAAGAAGAAGAAAAAGAAGTCCATCATGGAACAATTATACGAGTTTCCTGTGTTAATTACAGAAACTAATGAAGTATTTACATTATTCCTAAATGAAGAGGATATAGAGAAAGCAAATCATGGTTATATAAATATATTATATTTGGATTTATTTAATGTATAGGTTATATGTTAGTTGTGTTATTTTACTTTAATAACTATTATGTTATTTTTTATAAACCCAAAATTTGTGGAGGATCTTGTTACGAAGGAACAAGGAAATAAAATCAAGCCGGTAGCTGACGTGAAAGATTTAACAAATAAAAATGTTGAAAAAATAATGCTGGTAAGATGTACACTTTTATTTTTATGTAACTAATGTCTATAATTTACTCTTTAGTTTTGTATAAAAGTATATTTACGCATAAGTTTAAGAATAATATACATAAATATTAATATATCTTCATTTTTTTTAAATTGTATTTTATAATATAATTTTTAGAAAAGTCAATATTTTCATGGCCAGACAAAGCGGTGCTTTTATTAATTGAAGTGTATAGAGAAAGGGAGGAAGAGTTCTCAAATAGTTTCAAGCACAATAACAAAATTTGGACTGAAATTGCTGTTGAGATGAACAAAGTCAATCCAGCTTACAAAATAACAGCACAGCAATGTACATCAAAAATGTCTGGCTTGAAGCGAACTTACAAAAATATTGTTGACATAAATAAAAAAAGCGGCAATAATAGAAATTCATGAGCATTTTTCTCAGTATGTTACACACACATATATATATATATATATATTATTTATTATATGCAATATTTATAAGTGTGCAACAAGATATATTTATATATCATTTAATATATTATTCTTATCATGCACAAGGTTATGGATTCATTATTTGGCGATAAAGCGTCCATTAAGCCTCCTGCAATTGCCACAAGTGATGGTCCATTGAATCCAAATCAGGAAAAATCGTGTAATGATGAGATTTCATCTTCTAAATTAAAAAGTAAGTGTTTGTACTTGTGTATTAGTAGGTTATATCAACAGTTCAAAATAATTAGGGTTGCCATCCGTCCGGATTTCCCCGGATTTGTCCTAGTTTTGAAGGCGTCCGGGGGTGTCCGGGCGGATTTTTTGAAGCGGTCCGGGTTTTTATAATTTTTCATTGTACTTATATAATTGAACAAATTATGTATAATTTTACAGCAGTATATATGATGTTGCAGCATTGTAAGTATACATACATATTCATAAAGCATTCGTATAATAAAAAGAATTTAACAATGAATTATTCAAATATTTGTGTTAACAATCGCAAATTTTTATGTATAATCGATAACGTCATCGCTCTTCAATTACCACCGGGCCCACACGCCGCGCTACATGGGTATCCCGCGCCCCAAGGTGAGGGCTCTCACGTCCCACGAATTGGCAGCTCTGTCTGACGTGGTTCCCATATCTCACAGATACTTTGTACGCACACGCAAACGACAGAAAACGCACTTCTGAGTCTCAGTGTGTGTGAGCTTTACCCTTCCCTTCTTGGACGATCAGTCTAGATATACTATGTCTATGGTAGCGAACAGATACGAGCATTTATTTGTCGTGTATGTGAGCATGTGGGCATCGACGAGGTATTGTTAAAAACGGCCGACCAAAGGCAGCTTTTCGTAACTGTCAAGTGGACCCGGAGATAATTGAAGAATGATGACATTTTCAACCATTTTAGTTTCATGGAGAATAGTAAACACGATCCTCATACAATACGTACCATCCAAAATCCGGACATAAGAGATCTTAAAGATGTCTTACGCCCGTTCATAGTCTTTTCTTGAAAACGAGGCTTCCTTGTTTCTGTCTTTATCTCACGTACATACTATGTTTTACTATACACAAAACAAAGACAGACAGGAACAAGAAATCCTCATTTCTTAAGGAAGGACTATGAATACGGGTATTAGAGATGTCTTTAGAATACTTTAGATAAACGTGTCTAAAATACAATATGTCTTAATGATGTTTTATATACCGATTTTTGAATGAGCATGTTGTCTGAGGATTGTTATTCTCCGTACAGCCAAAACTGCAATCGAAATGTCATATTATTTAATTATCTCCGAGCCTACTTAACACTTGCGAAAATTTGTCTTTGGACGGCCATTTTTAACAAAATCTTGTCAGTGTGGGCGTGCATGACAATTCTCAATATAGAGATATCGCGTACGCTGTTTACGTAAAATATCAATTATACATATTTTTAATGTTTTATTTTATTGTATCTTTGTCAATTTTATTTGTTTTTAGAACTCAAAATGCCTAAGCGTAAATGCTCATTTAATAACGATTTGCAACGTAAACTTCCAATGATGAAAAAGGTAAATATGATTGGGAAGTTTTCTGTACAATTTGCTCGACGAATATTTCGATTGCAAATAAGGGTGTTAGTGACATAAACGAACACTTAAATACTCAAAAACACAAAACAAATTTGAGAAGTCAAGCAAGTACTTCAAGCGTTGCTACATACATGATTAAATCTGGCCCTCACGAAGACCGTATCCGAGCAGCTGAAGGCACGATGGCCTATCATACAATACGTCATCATATGTCTTTTAATTCTTTAGATTGCACTAATGCCCTAAATCGAGAATTATTTTCGGAGTCAGATATAGCAAAGAAACTTACATGCAATCGCACCAAAGCGACAGCTATTGCAAACAATGTGCTAGACCCCTTATCAAATACCGAACTCACTAATGATTTACAAGATATAGCATTCATAAGTGTGTCCACCGACACTAGTAACCATGGAAGTATAAAATTATTCCCCATTATTATTCAGTATTTTGATTATCAAAAGAACGGCATTACTTCAAAGCTCCTCGAAATAGAGACTATAAAAAATGAGACGTCGAACACACTTACTGAATTTATTATGAAACAACTTCGTCAGCATAATCTCTTGATGAAATGCATCGCATTTTCTGGAGACAATTGCAACACAAACTTCGGAGGAAGAGAGCGAACAGGGACCAATAATGTTTTCCATAAACTCAAAACAGTTTTGAACTCCAACATTGTTGGTGTTGGTTGTTCTGCACACATAATTAATAACGCTGTGCATCATGGCTGCGATTTATTGCCATTAGATGTGGAGTCTGTTATCTTAAAAATCTACAATTATTTTGCTATATACGTATACTGTTCGAACCGAATCCCTCAAAGAATTCTGCGCTGCAGCCGACACCGAATACAAACTACTTCTCTATTATTCAAAAACTCGTTGGCTAAGTCTTTTTCCCGCTATTGAACGATTTTTAAAGTTATATCAACCAATAAAAGACTATTTTGAAAGCTTAGAAAAACCACCAGTTTTGATTAAACAGTTTTTTGAAAACGATTTATCAGAAGCATATTTGTTTATTATCCATTCTACAATGCATATTTTACACAGGAATAGAAAAATTAGAAGGAGTGATAATTCTATCATAGAAACAAGAAACATACTTGCTTTCATTACGAAAAGCTTAGACAACAGACTTAAAGAAAACTTTTTGCCACTGAAAGTTCAAAGCATTCTGAAAAAACAGTCAAATGATAACATTAAAAACGAGTTTAACAACAATTCCATAACATTCTACAGAGAAATAAAAGCATATATAGAAAACTGGATGAAACCATTAGATCAATTTGAGAACTTCGATTGGATGTCTTTGACTAACATAACTGAGAATATCCAATGGACCACCATTCAAAACACCATTTTATTTTTGCAAGATAGGAACATCAAAATTGATGATACAAAATTAATAGATGAATGGATGAATTTGAAAATTTTTAGTCAAAACCTTAGTGAGCAAGATAAACAATTAACCGCAAATCAACTTTGGCTTAATTTTTTTAAAACTCCAAATGCTCATACATATACCGAATTATTAAAGATAGCTCAGTATTTTTTCTGTATACCGGCTCATAATGCAAACGTGGAGAGGGTGTTTTCACTGATTACGCAACAGTGGACGAAGGAAAGAAATTTATTGGGACCACACACTGTCTCATCATTAATTAAAATAATGTACAATTTTAAAGATATGAGTTGCGTTGATTTTAATAAATTTCTCCTTAATAAAAAAGATGTTTTAAAAGCAATAGGAACGGCCGAAAAATACAACAAAAATACTGAAGCAACTTAATTTAATTGCTAATTTTGAACGTTTTTAATTATTTTAAGACAATTTTTATTTAATTATTTTAATATAAATATTTATTTTGGTTTTAAAGATGAATATAATTTTTGTTTTTTTTTCACATAATAATGTTGTTATTTAGTTAGTACTAAATAAACTTTGTAAATGATATGTTAATAAATATATATATATATATATATATATATATATATATATATAACTATTATACTTTCATTTCATTTGTGAAAGCAATTTTTGGATATAAAAACGTTAGATGTTATATTAAATTATAGAAATTCATAATGAGAAAATTAATATTAACATTGAAAAAAAATGTCCGGGTTTTGAGCTGCAAAATCCGGGGTTTTAGAACTCATTGTCCTAGGTTAATGATTTTATAGATGGCAACCCTAAGAATATATACATATGGCCGTGATGTACATTTGTAAAGTACTCTTACCATGGCATAAGAACGATTTAAAAATAGTCTTATACGTATATAATGGGTTTTAATCAGTATATATTTCTGACAAATGCAATATGTTCACACGAGATGAAGAGAATTAATATTAATTTAATTCAGTTCTTTTGTATTATAGTGTAATGATCATTTTTGTGTTATCTATTACAGGTCCGCCAAAAAGAAGAGACGAATAGAAAAAATAATGGAAGAGTTCATAGATACTATTGCGGCAGAAAAAAAAAAGTAAAAAGACGGGAAGCACGCAGAGAAACAATACGCAAAGAAAAGAGAATAGAAAGTGAGAAAAGGCATAATGAGCAAATAAATATACAGAAATCATTAGTCTCCATATTGCAACAGTTTCTTGATAAAATATAGTTAGTTTTCTTGATTATAGTTGGATGCCAAATATAAAAGCTACTAGAAAATTACTACAAATGTTAGTAATTAAATTAGTAATTAGTAATAATTTAGTTAAGTAAATGTTAGTAATTAGTAAGTACTAATATTTGTAGTCATTTTCTAGTACCTTTTATATTTGGCATTCAACTTGGACCAAGTCCTCGAATCGTGGACACAATGCTTAAGAAGCATGTTTATAAAGTTAAGCGTTACTAGTCTAAGTAAAAGTTATATTAACTTTTTTTTTTGATTAACGAGTTTTAAGTTTGGATATTTCAAAGTTTAATGTAATATATTATTATATATGTTATTACGTTTATAAACAATAAGTTTCGGCTGTAAAGGATATTGAAATGTTTTTTTTTTAAAGAATTTTTAAAAAGAAGTATTTATTTTTTAAAATGTGAAAATAGTACAATCTTAAAATGTTATTTATAAAGTAAGCAATTGTGTAAAACATATTGTGAATAAAACTAATTAGGATAAAGAAACCTATTTAAGTGATTTTGTTCACGATACATTTTACAAAATATAAAATATGACTGTGAATATAAGACTACACGAAATGTAAGACTGAATAGTTAATAAGAATAAAACTGAAACTTAAACATAAATAATGTCTGTTTATTAATCAAAAATATTTATTATTAAATTAACAATACAAATCCTTATTACAGTAATGCGTCAAATATTCTTATCAATCAAACGATTTTTATTTGCAAATCATTCATTATTGTCGTTCTTTTAGCATTTCCCCTCTGTGTGTTATTATCGCGAACAAATGCCTGTACTTCTTTATGTTGTTGGACGCCAACAAACATTATATCATTTTGTAAAATACAAATATTATGTAACACACAGCATGCTATGATAAATTCCGGAATTTTTTTCACATCTGTCAATGGTAGACAATCTAATAATATTCTAAATCGTATTTTTAATTGTCCAATTGCACGTTCAATTGCCATTCTTGTTGATGATAAACAATAATTAAAATTTTTTTGTCGATTTGACAAAGGGCCATTGTCTCGAAACGAAACTAAAAAGTGTGGATGAATTGCATATGCAGCATCTCCAATAAGGTGGGAGTTATTAGGGAAATATATGTCAGGCATCTCTAAAAAACGTGCTACTGGCGAATTTCTGAAAACTCGAGCATCATGAACTGATCCTACTTCTCCTGCATAGCAGTGTGTAAAAAGGCCACGTGAATTACAAACAAGTTGAACGTTTAAGAATGGAAAACCTTTCCGATTTATATAAGAAGCTGTATCATTTGGCGGACCTCGAATTTTAATGTGTGTTCCATCTATAGCACCAATGACATTTGGAAAGCCACAAGTTTTTTTGAAATGTTCTATCGTATCAATGGCAACATCTTTGGGCCACTGTATAAATCGAGGTGCAATGCAATGAACTGCATAGGTGACATGTCTTACAGCCCTAAAAGCAGTTGCTTTGCCAACTCCAAACTTGACACAAATGGATCTGGCCTAACAACAATAGCATTCAATGCTTAGTGGAAAATGCTATAAATGGTAGTTACACGAGTATAGAACACTGAATTTTACATACCTGTACGAATCAGGAGTAGCCATAAACCATAGAGCAATATACAGTTGTTTCTCTGCTGAGATTGGTTTTCTACCAATTTCAGTGCCTGTGGCTTTTAGTGCTGGTCCAATTAATGATAAAATCATTTCAAATGTAGCCGGATACAACCTAAAAGGTTAAATTAAGTAAAATAAATCAAATAAATTAAACAAAACTAGAGAAAATATTAACTTGTATTAACTAATGACATTTATGTTGAAATATCTACCTAAAATGTTCTCTGAAAATAACATTGGTGTAATTAGGAATCACCCGCTCGACGTAATCCGTTATTTTTGTGACTATAATTTGTTCTCCACGAGATTTGCCTGCCATTAATAATGAAAACAACGTCTGCATGTCATGTAGAGATATATCTTCATCTTCATCTTCATTTTCATTTTCACTGTCGCTTGATTCGGAACTGTCACTTTCATTAATCTTCTTTAAAAACATCAAAGAAGACACAACTACTAAAATTCGCTTCTTGTTTTGGTCGGCCATTTTCGTATTAGCGCACAGAATGCGTAGGCAACCGTTCCGAATAACTAAAGCGTTTTATATTGACAAAACGGAACGATTTCAAAGCCTGCGCAACAGTAATGCAGTCTATGCGTTTCATGCGCAATTCGGAACGCACCCATAGAGAGCGCCTTATTCTTTCTAGCCTAGGAATAGAGAGAGTAGGAAGGTCACTAGGACGTGACATTAAACAAATTTTGGTGGCAGCGGTGGGATTGCCACAGGACTGACAAAAAGACAGTAGGGACCCTCCCTCGTGTTTTCTTGAATTTTATACACAATTCATACTCACCTTATACTCAATTCAAGAGTAGATTTTTCCTTTTTGTTTGAACTTTCTGAATTATTATAACTTCAAAGAGTGTGACAACAATCAATTACAATCAAACTCTCAATTATACTCTAACACTCTTCCGTAAATGCCCAATAGAGGTGGACGTCGAGTTCAGATTAAAAAGATTAAATTCCAAATAAAACAAGCCTTGTTCCTAAATCAAAATCCTTTTCCATTGGTTGTAAACCTGCAAAATTTAACTAATAAATCAAACGAGCCAGGACTGCAACCTAATGAAAACAAAGCTATCATTGTTGTGTCTCGGGTAAGACACAGAAGGGATGTCGCCGGATTGGGAAGTGAACTTCCGAATTGTCGGGGTTTCTCCGTAGATTATAGTCTTGTTAAATGTAGAATTCCTTTTCTTTATTTAATATATATATATATATATATATTGGTATACAAACTTAACAAGACTCGGCGTATAGTTATTTATAAACCTCTGGTAACTTCGTTTCTCTTTTCCACTCGTTTGACGCGACTCCAGATTTATTCGAACGTTAGTTAACGACTCGTCTGATTGCGAGTCGGGAGTTATCCTTGATGTGACTCGGTTGGTTGGTCTAGTTGAATTCGCTCTCTGTTCACTCCCGAGTTCTTACGTGAACTCGGTTTTTCGTTATTTCGTTTGGCAACAGGCACCTGATTGGTGCATAGCTTTTGCTTACGTGGCTAGATTTTGAGCTAAAAGCTGTTCAAAAGATAAAACTCTTAGCTTGCGTCTTTGCGGTTTCCGGCCCGCTGCTGTATCAGCGATCTCCACGCGGAAAGTGTAGTAATTCTATATTTTATATCCGTTAAACTTATAATTATAGCCTTTCGGAATATAACCTCATTTACGAAATAAAACCAATACAATTCGAGAATAATAATCTTAATTATAAAACGATAAAACGAGAAGATCCTTGTCGTGTATTCTATAAAATTCTCTAAATATTCGGGCCTGAGATATAATAAATCATTTTTTACGTATTTTTATCCCTTTTATTAACTAATTTTTTTTCATTTTACATATCCTCCAAAAGTAAAAACGTTATAAGCAACCATGCCTACCACACGAACTTCCAAAACCTCTAACCCCCCCCCTCTGAGGCTGGAGATTCAGCGCAGGTCGACATTGAAACCTTTAATCGTATGGTAGCCGAAAAAAAGCTCTCCTAGATCAACAAGTAGTAATAGAGAAAAAACAGTTGAGCTAAAAAAATTATTACGGAAAAAAGAAATCAAGGAAACAGAAGATCCATACGGGCCTTTATTAAGCACCCTAACTGATCAAGTCACGAGCTTAAGTACCTTACCCAGGCAAATAGAACTTCTAAATCAACGTATTAACGATTGGCAAGGTAATAACCAACCTTCATACCAAAGAAGGACCTCTCAGGACCATCCTTCCATAAATGCTATTGGAGAACCTACCCCCCCCCCCCCCCCGAAGCAGTTTCTCCTATTCGATTTAAAGATGTAGTCGATTCTATCCCTAAATTCGATGGTCATAAAATGTCCATCTTTCACTTTTGTCAAATATATGAGCGAGCAGTCGAATTAATATCACGATATCACGAACCTTATCTAGTTCAATATATAATTAATAAATTACAAGGACACGCGTACTCTGCAACAGAAAGAACAGAATATGATTCCGTTCTTACTTTAACAAAACAATTAAAAAAAATTTTTGGACCTAATAAATCCGTAGATCAATATCGCGGTGAACTCGCTAACATTTATATGAAACATAATGAAACTATTCTCGATTATATAGGGAGAGTAAAAGAATTACATGCAGCCATACTCGACGGAAAAAATAATAATTACGGAGATCAACGAAAATATTAAAGATAACATTGAACGAAGTGTCATCAATAGTTTCATCAACGGCCTTCCCTTAGATTTGCTAATTAGAGTGAAATTAGAAGGATCGTATAGACTCAAAGAGACCTTCATAGACGCCATACAATTATTAAAAACTTTAGAAGCCGAAAACGCGCGCAAACGTAACGTACCTACATATAAATCTAATGTATCTCATCGCGCCGACTTTCCAATAAAACCGAATCGTCTCAATATATAACTAACTGAAACTCGCAATAAAACTGTTGTGTGCCTCGGGAGAGACACTTAAGGGTCGCGCCAAATTGGGATGGGAATCCGGGGCGTCAGGACTTGTCGGGTGTTTGTAGAGAAATGCACTACACTTTTTGTATTAAAATTCTTTATTCAATTTCAACCACTTGGTCTTTATTTTATTTCACTATCAATACACTGTAGCTTTACGAGTGTGCGGCACTGACTTTATATTACTCCGCGTATCGCGCACAACTGCGAGTCGATGCTAAGTGCGCGCGCGGTTAGCGAGATCGTGGTTAGAGCGATTATTTGTGTCTGCGACTGAGCGAGTTGTCGCGTCTCTACTCTCTTTTTATATCGTTGTTTTTGGAGTTTTCCCGATCGGAAGGGGTGCCTGGCAACAGGTTTCCCCGGTCGAGAATCTAGGTGCAAGCGAAGCAGATTCAAAGTCCTTCTGCTTTGCTTGCACGTTGACCAATTTCTGTTCCGCGTATATCTCGCATTGTATGCGTTTTTAACGCGGTCATTATCTGTCGTAATTCTGATTTCGCGTATACCTCGCATCGTATGCGTTTTTTAACGCGGTCATTAGCTGTCGTAATTCCGATTCCGCGTATACCTCGCATCGTATGCGTTTTTTAACGCGGTCAGTGTCTGTCGTAATTGCAGATGCAATACGAGTACCCATTTCTTAATATTAGTTACTCTTTTAACAGTTATATCTATTGTATATCTTTGGGGGATATAACATCCCTCCCCCGTTAAAGAAGAAAAACGAAGGCATGAAGTTTTTCGCTTACAACTAAAGCTTACAAATGTTTATCCCGTTCACAATATAATTATAATCGTTTCCTATTTCCTAAAAACGCGTACTATTACTCCTTTTTAATATAGATCTAGGTACATCCCAGTCATCGTCGAGTATCGTCACTCTTGGTCTTCTTTTAATGTCTTTTCTATTTTTTACTTTCCAAATTATAATGACAATGATAAATATTATAATTATGATTATTACTAACCCGCTCGAGGTCATGGGATAAATAAATTGTTTTCTTGTATAAAACTTTTGTTCATTATCCTGTAAATCATTGTCTATATTGTTTATTTTCGTTCGTAATTCTATTAGTTCTGCGTTGTTTTGTGTTAGATTATTTAATGTGTCGAGTATTCTCATGTCCTCGTCTTGTGACGGTGCAATATTAAAATTCGGTAAATATGTATCTATGTTCGTTACGTAAGTCGTCCCTTTTGTCTCCAATGTCATATCCTCCGTTTTAATTTGACAGTTTCCTCGTGAGGTTAGTCGGCCGGTATTTTTTATTACTAAATTTTTTTCTGTGTATCCGTCACATTTTATATTTATTTTTTCTTCCTTAGCTGTTGAGTACAACCATGTGTGTGTTTGATGTAACGGGATCCATACTGTCGTTTTCGTTACCCGATAGCGTACCTTACATTCATGCTTATCTTGCATTCGTTGCGTATACATTTGTAATTCGCACGGTATATTCGTGTTTACGCGATAAGTCGGCATGCTATGTTCGCATATATAATTAAAGTTTATTTTACTACATTTTTGTAAATCCTCATTTGTTATAATTAAATATGTTAATCTAAGGTTATCTATGGCAAACATATTGTTTTCTACTTGTATACCTTTAAATGTTTTATTGTATGCTGCCACGGGGAATTCAATTGCCTTTATTATGTTATATTTAGGCTGTGATATTATCGGGAACCGCAGTATTGTATATAAATTATATTCTTTGCTTACGTATGCACTTACGCTTGCATGTTTCTTTATTTCATGCCAGTTTACTGCGTGTGTTCTAAACGGAAAATAATATCCCTGTTCTAACTGTGTTGCGGCTTCCTTTAAGTGTGCGACAATGTTATCAAATGGTACTAATTTCGGATGTATATTTCCTTCCTCGATTTGCGCTAAGTATTCTATAATATTTTCCGCGTCCCTAATGGCGTCTGTTAATGCTGCCATAATTATTTCATATTGTCCCTGTATCTTTTCTAACGTAATATATTGCGCTACATTTTCCTGTAAGAGTTTTTCACTCTGTTTTATTGTATTCTCTAACTTACTTATATGTGTTACCGTATCGTTGATTATTGTTAGTTGATGCCTAACTGTGTGTTGTAACGTGCTCTGTCGGTTATTTATTAATTCTAGTTGTTCATTTATGCGTTTTTCGTCATCGGCGTCCATGGTACCGAACAATGTCTTTGCCACTGTTCCTATCCCGTCAATTATTCCCCTACGTTTGTCTGTATGTCTGTCGTAGAGTGTATTTATTTGTATTATCGTTTTTTCCAAATAGTTTAGTGTTTGTTTTGTAATACTAACTAAATTAAGGCATGTGTCTTGTTGCGTTAACACATTGCACGCTTTTTCCGTACGCTCTATATAATTTCGTATGTAACCTTGTTTCGCAGTTAATGTTGCTAGGTCCAGTTTTATTACTAGTTTCCACGTGCTTTTGGAACAATGTAGATGGCCTATTTTTTCAAAATGTATCCCTGGTTCGTTGGTGAATTCCTCGAGTTCGTATGGCTCTTGGCTTGACCGTCTTAATGTCGCTGCGTTGGCATTGAATATGATCATCCTGTAATATATATATATATTCCCCTTACTATTTTATACTTTTGTATGCAATTTTTTATCAAGAAAGCGGAGCATTCGTTTTTTATATCTTCTGTCGTTTCTTCAGTCTTAGGACAACTTTTGTTACGTGCGGCAC